AGACTCAAGGGTCCCAGGGCATGTACCTTGGTTGCGGGCATGTCCCCAGTAGGGGGTGTGCAGGAGGTGGCTGAGCGATGTTTCTAACTCTTTCTCCTTCTCCCTTCCTCTCTAAAAAATCTCAATAAAATATATTTTAAAAACTGATGTACAAAATAGATGGCGACATAGAAGCATAGAATAGACTTCGGAATCTCAGAGGGAAGGCAGAGGAGTGTGGGAGGTGGGGAGTGATCAGGCAAAGTACTTGTGTGCATATATGCATAACCTGCCCTTGCTGGTTTGGCTCAGTGAAGAGCGCTGGCCTCTGGATAAAAGGGTTATGATTCCAGTTAAGAGCATATACCTTGGTTTCAGATTTCTCCCCAGCCTGGGCCCTGGCACCAATCGAAGTGTTTCTCTCACATCAATATTTTGGTCTTTCTCTCTAAAGAGCAATGGAAAAATATCCTTGGGTGAGGATTAAATAAATAAAAAATATATATGCACAACCCATGGATACAAATAGGATAAAGGCCTGGGACAAGAGGAGAGGGTGGGCTTAATGGGGGGAAGAAGGGGACATAATTATCATATATGCAGAACCCAGGACAGACAATAGGGTGGTGAAGGATAATCACAATTTTCTAACTTTTTTTTTCTCCTAAAGTGGTAACCAAATTCTTTTGCAATCAAGAGCATTCCTCATAAGCTCTGCAAAGAATTATCTACCAGCCAAAACCAGTTTGGCTCAGTGAATGGAGTGTTGGCCTACAGACTGAGGGGTCCCGGGATCCTGGTCAAGGGCATGGGGGCGGGGGAGAGTGTGTGTGCAGGAGGCAGTTAATTGATGTTTCTAATTTTAAAAAAAATATATTTTATTGACTTTTTACAATGATTCTCATTGATGTTTTTTTTTTTAATGTCCATACTTCCCAAAGCAACTTATTATTTTTAAAAATATATTTTATTGATTTTCCACGGAGAGGAAGAGGGATAGAGAGCTAGAAACATCGACCAGCTGCCTCCTGCACACCTCCCACCAGGGATATGCCTGCAACCAATGTACATGCCTTTGACTGGAATCGATCCCGGGACCTTTCAGTCCGCAGACCTATCCTCTATCCATTAACCGATACTTTTTACATGAAGACAACTTAATTTAATGTTGAACTATCCATTGGAAGACAATTTTAAGTAGCAATATTATCAAATATATTATAGCCAACAGCTATAGGTAAGGTCAGACCCAGGAAGTACCTAGACTAAGATCCACACCTTCTTACTATTTATTAGTAAGACAATCCCAATTTACTTTGTAATTTCTAATAATTGATTTTAGCATATGTGCTGCCCAAGCAAGCACAATTTCTAACAATTGAAACAATACCTTATTATGAGTTAAATAGCAGTATGCCAAACAGCTAAAATGGTGTTTGCTGTCAAGTATTTTGAGGCTGACCCAAATATGACTTAACATTTAATTAAGCAAGAAACTGCCGCCGAAACCGGTTTGGCTCAATGGATAGAGCGTCGGCTTGGGGACTGAGGGGTCCGGGTTCGATTCTGGTCAAGGGCATGTGCCTTGGTTGCGAGCATGTCCCCAGAGGGGGGTGTGCGGGAGGCAGCTGATCGATGACTCTCTCTCATTGATGTTTCTGACTCTATCTCTCTCCCTTCCTCTCTGTACAAAATCAATAAAATATATTAAAAAAAAAAAAAAAAAAAAAAACTGCCCATCTAGGATTTAAGTTGCTAACACTATTGGTTTCTATAGTTTTGGTCAATATTTTTGCTCAACAAATACTCCCACAAAATAATCTTCATGCAGGGATTGAAATGCCAAATAGAATCATGGACCTCTGATGAGATCCACTTTATATAAACACACTTATATTTTATGTTTCTACCATTTCCCCCCAAAAATAAGACCTACTTACAGGTTTCCTTCTGAGTGAAATATAAGGCATCTCCCGAAAATAAGGCCCCCCCCCCTAGGCTAAACATGAGAGATTTGGCCAACTGATTCTGCAAGAAAAGGGAGTCACAAGAAATTCACCAGGAAATTCAGGAATTGGATTGTTATGATGATGTTCCAGAAGATGATGACATTGTTATCATTGAATAAATGAGTAAATTCTTGATACTGTAGGATTCAGTTTGTCTGGTTTGTGTTGACCCTACCGTACTACCGTACAATATACAGGTAATAAATTTCCTTTATTTTCATCTAACAAATGTGTACCATATTCTTCTTCATGGAAAAATAAGACATCCCCTGAAAATAAGACCTAGCAAATCTTTGGAAGCAAAAATTAATATAAGACACTGTCTTATTTTCGGGGTTACATGGTAGTTTATGAATTATCTTTGAATATGTGAGGTAAATATATTGCAAGCCTTGAAGCGATACTCTTTTTGCTTATAGATGTAATTATCAATTCATTTGTGACATAAATTTACTTTTGGCAGGGGTGGAACCCATGGTTGCAAAACATTAATTCAAAATGGACTATTATTGTTCCCAAGCCAAAATTTTGGTTTCTTGTAATATCCCCAACATATCAAGTCCTGTGGAGCTATAGGAAGATAAGAACATTTTACATGACCATTGTTGAAAAGATATAAATATTATAAACTAACGCACCTTATATAACTAATTGAAACAGGGCAATCAAGGCCTAAACTCTTATCCAATTTTAGAAAACCCCTTAAGCCCTAGCCAGGTTGGCTCATTGGACAGAGCATTGGCCTGTGAACTTAAAGGTACCAGGTTCAAGTGTAGTCAAGGGCAAGAACCTTGGCTACAGGCTCCTCCCCAACCTGAGCCCTGGTTGGAGGCAAGCAATTGATGTGTTTCTTTCACATAGATATTTCTCTCTCTCTCTCAAAATCAATAGAAAAATATCCTTTGGTGGGGATTAAAAACAAAAAATACAAAACAACATAGTACTTAAAAAAAAAACAAAAAAACCCCCGACAAACCTTAAAAAAAAAAAATTTTTTTTTAATCCTCTCCTGAGGTTATTTTCCCCTTGTCTCTTTTCGGAGAATGGAAGGGGGAAGAAACAGCAATGTGAAAGAGAAACATTGACTGGTTGCCTCCCCACAAGTACTTCACCAGCGGTGGGGAGTGAACCCACAATCCAAGTACATGCCTTTGATCCAGAATAGAATCCAAGACATTCTGGTCCACTAAGGGACACTGGCCAGGGCCCCTTAAAACACACTTTTACTCATACGCCATTAATTAATTAATAACACAGCCAGAGAGTTGAAGCTGAAACATTAAGTCTTCCAATATTTCTTTTTGAATAATTTAAATTCTTACCATTTGCAATTTTAGAAACAAATTGCTTTAAGTAGGATTATATTCTATTGAAATGATGGCAGTGTTGCCACACTTGTTTGGAAGATGGCAATTATATAAAATTGCTGATTCCCCAACTAACATGAGGTCCTTTGGGTGCTAAGGTTTCTTTTTAAAAATTTATTTTATTTATTTTGTACAGAGAGAAAGGGAGAGGGAGAGCTAGAAACATCGACCGGGTGTGCTGCCTCCTGCACACACACTACCGGGGATGTGCCGGCAACCAAGTACATGCCACTTCCTTCTAAGAGTTACGTTTCACAAGAACATAAATCAAGATTATCTGGCCCTGGCCAAGTGTGCATGTTATCCCATGCACAGAAGGTTGTTGGTTCAATTCTTGGTGAGGGCACTTGCCCAGTCTTCAGGTTTGATCCGACAGGGGGCCTGAGGAGGCAGATGACTGATATTATGCTCTCACATCAATATTTCTACCTCTGTCTCTCTCAAAAAATCTATTTTAAAAATATTAAAACACAATTATTTGTAGTAGTTTGTACACCTGGGTTAGGACACAAGACACACATCCTCTTTAGTCACAAATAAAGGTAAAATGTATAAAAAAATTTTGTTTCTTGGGAACAGAAGGTATCTGATCATATTCACTTTATGTAACTTTTACTTCTAGACACTTTAGAAATATTTGCATGTCAACAGGTTGCACACATCATTTTAAAATGAAATACTTAAACACAAATAACCCCTTTTAATATAGGAATAATTTTGAGCCAATAAAGGGAAAATAAATGTAAACCAAGTTTATTTTGCTTTTTAAAGTAGTGTTCTTAAAGCACTACAGCTTGGTAAACAATGTAAATTAGTATAAGTCATCTCAAAAGCCAGTTTTGTTGTTTGTTTTTTAATGAGTTGTTAAAAAGATGCAGCCTATTCTACCAGGATAAATATTTTTAACCATTTCACTTCGAGTTAATGAAGGCTCACAAATGAGCAACACTCCTCATTGAGGAAAACAAAAAGCTGTTGTCGACAAGCGACAGCACACACACACAAAAACAAAAAGAACTGTGTAAAAATAACTAACTGTGTTCACATATTTTTTGAAGTTGCTTTACAATGGGATGATATGCACATGATCTTGCTGCAAACTTGCCATACAGACTTGTAATACATGTAGCCTAGACAAACGATTCAGTCCAAGAGGTGCTAACTTCAGACAATGCAGCACTATAATCCTTTTAACAATGCAATTTGTTTTACTCATTATTTTTCTTCTAGACTGAAATACAGGCTAGAAAGAAAATTCTCCCTAATTAAAAATGGTAGTTTACAGGAAAAAAAACTGTATAATTTTTGCATTAGAATTTACAAGTATATGTTCAAATCGAATTTGCCTCCTCCCCAATACCTAGCCACAAGATGGGCATGAAGTAGAATTTTTAAAAATGCCTTAATTTTCAACTTCATGCAGACTAAATAAAGATGACCAAAACAAAAGCTTAAACAATGGAAGGTATTTCACAGAAAATTTCTTATACAAAAAACACATAAGAAAAAGGGCCACTAGGTGACATTTTAATTTACAAATTGGCATCATTTTGGTCGACAAATATCCAGATGCTGTTTTCTTCTGCTAACAAAAGTTGCAGAGAGAGAGGAAAAAAAAAATCAAACCCCAGCATGACTTCTGATTTTAATCACACATTTCTTCTGGAATTTCATGTGGATTAAGGATGCCAGGAACAGACATTTGAAGTTTATGTTTCTCTTCCTGAGCCTGTCGCAGGGCTGTTTCTCTTTCTTCCAAAAACAGGTCAGATGTATCTTCACCTGCAAACTCCTGTGAAAACAAGATAGTTGAAAGGTCAACAAAAGTGTTATGAAAAGCAGTTGTTTGTTTGTTTTTTTTTTTGGGGGGGGGAGGGCGCAACGGTAGAAATAAGCATATCCCTGTTTACGCAAGGGGTATAATTTTTCCATCAATAGGTTGGGTTTAAATTTCATTATTATATGGCTGAATTAAAAACCAAAGGTGGCCGAAACAGATTTGGCTCAGTGGTAGAGCGTCGGTCTGCGGACTGAAGGGTCCCAGGTTCGATTCCGGTCAATGGCATGTACCTGAGTTGCGGGCATATCCCCAGTAGGGGTGAGCAAGAGGCAGCTGGTCGATGTTTCTCTCTCATCGACGTTTCTAGTTCTTTATATCTCTCCCTTCCTTTCTGTAAAAAATCATTAAAATATATTAAGCCAAAACCGGTTTGGCTCAATGGATAGAGCGTCGGCTTGAGGACTGAAGGGTCCCGGGTTCGATTCCGGTCAAGGGCATGTACCTTGGTTGCGGGCATATCCCCAGTAGGAGGTGTGCAAGAGGCAGCTGATCAATGACTCTCTCTCATCGATATTTCTAACTCTCTCTTTCCCTTCCTCTCTGCATAAAATCAATAAAATATATTAAATATATATATATATATATATATATATATATACACACACACACACACACACACACACACACACACACACACAAAATACCCCCAAAGTTGTTGCACAGAATTTGAGAATCTATGAACCAGGAGGTCATGGTTCAAATCCCAGTCAGAACATATGCCCAGATTGGATTACTGGCTTGATCCCAAGCTGCAGTAGGCAGCTGATCAATGATTTTCATTATTGCTATTTATCTCTCTCTATCGAAAAATCAATAAAAACATATTAAAAACCAAAACAAACAATAACCAAAGATACCGTGGGGAAAAGGTTATAAAAAAGCCATAGAATGATGCCAGATATACACTGTGTGGCCAGATTATTATGACCTCTGAATGTATAATAATCTGGCCTGTGTGGTGTGTGTGTGTGTGTATCTCCTGTATAATAAAAGACTAACATGCAAATTGTCCTCTCGGCTGGGAGTTCAACCAGGAGTTAGACCAGGGGTGGGGCCAGCAGGTCAACCAACTGCAGCTCCTCCCTCCACCTGGTACCACCCCTGATCACTCTTCTCCCATCCCGACTGGGGTGGGCCGACTGGACTCAACCTGTGCATGAATTCATGCACCGGACCACTGTGTGTGTGTGTGTGTGTGTGTGTGTGTGTGTGTGTGTATTATTAACAGAGATATAAAAAACCTGTTTCTTTTAAAACTAATGATCAAGTTAGTTTTATATTTTTGCAAATGCAAATAAATCACATACCTTTATTTGTACTAGGAAATCCCTAAGATGTTCCTTGAAAGCAGGAATATCCTGATTTAAACTGAAAAGCCCTGTCACAAAGAGCTTTACTTGAGCACTGCAAATGAAAACACAGTAATTAAATAATTGCTTTTTTTAAAATAAGAATTTTATTAAAAGGTATATATATATTTACTCTTGCAGATGAGGAAATGCAGACTTAAGGAGATTAGCCACATATTCCTGAATAAACATTTGGTTGTTAACTGGATTCCCAGGATTTAACGGTGTACTTATTTTTCCTTCTTCAACCAAATTGAACATATATGCCAGTATTGATGCATGCATCGTCAAACCTGTTGATAAAAAGAGTAGTCTTAGCTCTAAGATTTAACAACTGGAACATTTATAACTTTTTCATAGCTTTAAATTCTTACCAGCAGTATGTGAGGTGTCTGTCACAACAGAAAAGATATGTTGAAGAATATCACAAAAATAAGTTTGATAAAAACTTTGAGCTGCAGCTTCTTCTTGTGCAACATTTTGCAAGAGTGTAAAAAGGATCTGTAAGCCTAAAATAAATAGGACAGCAGCAAATTACAGACTAACTCACATATAGTATTTTACTAATATACTATTCTGATTCAAAGCCCATTTCCCCTCTTTTTAGCTAATTATTTGCTTACATTACCCTGAATTAGTAATAGGTCTCTTAGAATCAAAGTCTGCTTTCTGACAAACTAAATAATAACCATTACCACCTTACCACTATGTCTGAAAGATCAACTGATTTTCTCCACATCCACACCAAAAACAGCACAAATAGATGTTTCTGTTCCATAAACAAATTACTATTTAAATATACAACAAATAAAAAAATTCTCCTGCTAGAGATGTTCTTTAGGATTATCCTTAGTAAATTCTTAGTGCCAGAGTGGAAAAGCATATGGAGAAAAGGAAGCAGTAATAAAGATATGGAGCGCAGCCTGCATGCTAATGGTAGAATCAGGAGGTCTCGGTTGAATTCACAGTTAGGGCACATACTCAGGTTGTAGGCTCGATCCCCTGTATGTGAAGGTAGCTGAACAATTATACTCTCATAATTGATGTTTCTCTTTCTCCTTTCCTTACACACACACCCATCCCGAAGTCAATTGGGGGGAAAAAATGAAGTGACATTTTTCCTACATTTTACGCTCATCTCCCCTTAACTAATTCTGCCTATATGCTATGTATAGAACAGACAACTAAATCGCTTTTATGGCTTATACAGACAAAACTTGACAAGTGAAGTGATACCTACTTGTCTACAACTATATATCTATCTCTGTAGAGTTTGTAAATTAGCAGACAAATAAATAAATTTCTATGCATTTACCTGTATCTGCAACATTCCTCATAGTATGTTTAAAAGCCCAAATAATGGAATCTAAAACAAGTTTAAACTGTGCAGGTGGAATAGCCAGAAATGCTGGGAAGCAATGAGAATTGACAGCCTGAAGTAGTAAGAAAAAGTTCGTTCTATGCTCAGGATACTCTTCAAAGTCCTAAAAATAAATAACAAGTCTTAAGAACAAAATAAAAAGCAAGTCCTAATTCAATATATTTGTTAGTGGGACTCAAGTTGTATGGTCTATTGAAAGGTCAATTCAAAGACGGTATAATGGATAATAAAATTATCATTTTTTAAACAAATGAATTACGAAAATAAGGAGACTTTAGGCCACATTTTAAAGCAACTCATCAAAATGCACATAAAAGAACATGTTTAACATGCTATATAATCATTAGTAACTTGGGAGACTCACAAATCAATACATTTAAGTTCTTAATGTCTATGAATGCAGTTTTCAATAAATTCAAGCTACTATTTCAATAAATGGAACTATCAAATGCACTCCCTGCTGTGTTATTTATAGTAAACTAGAGGCCCGGTGCACCTCACCCTCTCCGACCTGGGATGTCCAACTGCTTGTTTAGGCCCGATCCCACGGGGACTGCTGACCCGCAACTGCTCCTGCCTGCCAGCCTGATCACCCCTAAGCACTTCCCTGCAGACCACCTTGTGTGTTCAAATGATGGTCAATCTGCATATTACCGCTCTATTTTATAAGATTAAAAAAACAAAACAAGCATTTCCCTGATCTAGAAATTCAAACATTTAACCCCAGAACCTATGCTGCATTCAAAAATATCATTTATACTTTCAAGAGTTTAGGATATTCTGTAGAACTTCCCATTTTATAACTGAAATGTAAATCACATTACCTTATTTATCATATTCAATGTGCATTCAAAAACAGCATCAAATATTTGAGGTATTTCAGCTGTTATATGTCCTCCCAACTTGTTGACAATAATAGCCATGGTACTAAGCACTTCTGGTTCTCTAGCAGCTGGGACATTTCTCTGATAATCAATGAGAACTGCATCCAACAAAGGAGGAACAAAATTTTCAGCTACCTGTTTAAGAAAACAACAACCACACTTTAAAGTTAAAAAAAAAGAGAGAAAAAATATAAATATTTTAGAGAGAAGGGAGTGGAGGATAGAAACATAGATGAGAAACATCAATCAACTGCCTCCTATAGACGGTCCAATGGGGAGCAAGGCCGAAAACACAGGCATGTGCCCTAAAAAGGAATCAAATTGGTAACTTCCAGGTGCAATGGGATGATGCTTAACCAACTGCACCAACGCTAGCGGGGCAAAACTTTTAATCTATGTATTTGGTCACTATTATAAAAAGCTAGGTCATTCTTGTCTCTCCGGATGCTTTACTATAAACTGGAAATGCACTTCGACTAGGTTTTTTTTTTTTACACTAAAGAATTTAACCGAAAGAAACCAAAATATCACAATAGGCTGGGAAGGGCCAGAACATAGTATAGTTCAAATTTATAATTATGAAAGAAACTAAGGCCCAAAACCAAGCGACTAGCTCCAAGCTGCTGTGGCACAACCAGGATTCTAGGAATATTACCTAACAACAGACAAATATTTAAATTGACCGCACCTCAGCTACTCAGGAGTGATATGCAAATTAAACCAATAAAAGTGGTTAATTTTAATATATAGGTGCTGAGTGATGGGGGAGAAATGATTGTGGCGTTGCCGTGGTGATGATGTGTCTCTCCCTGCTCCCACTGCCTCTCAGGGCCTCTGGGCAGTGTGGGAAGGTGGGTCCTGAGTGAAAAGGGGCTGGGCTGGAGTGGAAAGGCAGAGCATCCATCCAGGGAAAGGAAAGCCCATTTTAGCACGATCTTTGTGCACGGGGCTTCTAGAACTATAGATGAAGGATGAGGAACCTAGCAAGAAAGAAAAATCATCCTAACCAAGATTATATCAGTTTCTTCAGTGGATATCAATATAATATCAAAGTACTCATATCTAACCAAAACACACCCATTCAATGTATTTGAATAAACAAAAAGAATAGCCATCACTTTCGCTTCTTATGTAACAAAACAGAACTGCACCAGAGACTGTGAAATTTCTAGAATTCTCAATAAACAGTCATATTAAGGTATGACATCTATGCTTTTCGTAAGTTCTATATTAAGACATGTACAATAAATGCAACCAATTTTTCCTTCAATGAAGATTACCAGTGTCAGTGTTTTAGTAATACACAAAATAGGTTTTTATAAGATAAAAGAATAAACACAAAATTATTTTTCCAATTACCCACTTGGCATCTTAAAGAAGAACTGGCTCTCATTTACATGAGACCTGGTTTGGTTGGCTCCCACTAGTGCCACTATTGGGGCTGGGGAACTTGCAACCTAAGTATATGCCCTGACCCAGGAAGCAATCCTGTGACACTTTGGTCCACAGGCTGATGCTCCAGTCACTGAGCCAAATCAGCCAGGTTCTCAATTTCTACTTTTTTTTTTTTCTTTATTAATTTTAGAGGAAAGAAGGATAGATAGAATCATTGATCAGCTGCCTCCTGCAACCCCCCACTGGGGACTGAGCAGACAACCCAGGCACCCTTGAGTCTGCAGGCCGATGCTCTATCCACTGAGCCAAACAGGCTAGGGCTCATTTCTACTCATGACACTAAAAGAACTCTTTTCCTAGAAACTGAATCTAAAGTGTTCAGTATCTTTGAAGTTTACTATCTTCATTTAGTAAACTTATTTTACTAAACCATGACATGTCTTAATTGTAAAATAAAATGGTACCATCTTTATTATCACCATTGATATGCCTAAAATTTGCCCAGCTTATTTTAAATTACGAACTTCATTATTTCAATTCTTCCTTTTACTTTAAAATTTAAATATAGTTGTATTTTTTCATAATGCACATGTTCAAAACTTTTCAATATTTAATCTGATTATCTTTTTAAAAAATAAATATATTTATTGATTTTGTACAGAGAGGAAGGGAGAGAGATAGAGAGCTAGAAACATCGATGAGAGTCAGCTGCCTCCTGCATGCCTCCTACTGGGGATGTGCCCCCAACCAAGGTATATGCCCTTGACCGGAATCGAACCCAGGTCCCTTCAGTCCCCAAGCCTACGCTCTATCCATTGAGTCAAACCGGTTTCGGCTTAATCTGATTAACTTGAGAATTTCACAATTGTTTTCTGAACGAGTTTCCTGGGAATTATTTCCTTATCAATTGGAACAATGTTGAAATTTTAAAATTACACAAATAGCTCACCTGTCAATCAATATTTCCATACAGCAGTGTTAATAAGACAGAAATTTTTGTAATGTTTCAAAGACCAAGAGAATGAAAAGCAAAAATGAAAAATTATCCATATTTTTCCAAGTCTAGCATATGGAGCTCATTAGTTTCTGAAAACCATACTCCTTTCTGGAAATGATTTAGACTAAAAGCAGTAAGAGTAAATGAGATATTCAAACCTTCAACTGATAAAGCACTTTTTCTGAGGAGGCAAACTAATGACACCTTGGTAAATTGTTTTGAAAATCATGATGAACACAAAGATTTCACCTGAACTCTTTTTATATCTATCCATAAAAAAATTAAAATTACCAAATCTATTTCTTTCAGCTATCTTGTTACATATTAGCACCATCTAAATGTCTTTGCAAGATGGCTTAAAACTGTTAGTATTTTTAAGTAGTCAAGGAATGTAATAAATAGAATGCTATACAATAACCCCAAATGTAGATATCTAAATTACCTTTAAGTTAGCCAAATACATAAAGAGATAAAGCTTATTACATCAGAGAATGCAGCATCAACTTCAAAAACAAACAAACAAACATCTCACTTACCATCTGTGGATCATTGGACCGGCTCACCCAACCAGATATTAACTTTAAAGTTTCCCTTTTTACTGTTCGCATACTTCTAATCAACGGTTGCTTTGTAACCATTTCACCTAAAAAATACAACCAAGTGGAATCCAACTTGACAACTAAAATTCTTCATTGGTATTACATGTGCTTCCAATAGTATTTACCTCTAAAGATAAATTTAATGGGGGGGGGAGGGACTAATTTTATAAGGAAAGGGGCATGCAACTGGTTAAAAATTATCTAGAGTTATCTGGAGAGAGGCTTATTTAAAAATCTCTAACTACTACTGAATGCCTACACTAAGGCAGATAATGTAGAACTGATGTTGTACCACATTCTGTAAGAATTCAAAAACCACTCACCATTAGCTTGGATAGCTGCAGAAATATTTTCACTGAGGCACTTGTATACATTAAGCATATCTAAGTAAATTCTCCCAAGTTGAATTACAAAGGGATGTCCAACAGCTTTGCAGGCTCTCACATTTGTTTTCAATATGCTACCAAGCTGCTTAACTGTTTCAGGATCTTTAAGTATATCCACATTCTGTGAAAGACAAAAACATCTATTTATCACATAAGAATTATCCTTATAATTATGAAAGCAAAAACTAGCATCCACATCATTCCAAATTTATCACATTTATAACCCAAAAAGTATAAAAGCACAGAAGTCTCTTACTAATACCTATAACTAACATTAGAGCGAAATCTTCCCAATATACTAGCAAAACAAAATAAAAATATACTTATTTTTTTAATGCACAAAAACACACACAAAAGTAGTTATGAATCAGATATACATGTCAAAGGTAACAAGATCTCTGCTCTTAAAAATAACACTCTACCTTAAATTCCACCATAACTTTTGTAAAAAGTAATATAACTTACTTTGGTTGCCTGCTGGATTATGCTATCCCAAACTTGATTAGGAAGCAGCATGTATTTTTCTATCAAATGTTCTTGTACTGTTTGGTCTGTTTGTGCACCAATCATGTACCCCACAGCTTCATAAAATGTATGGACCTACATTAAAAGGCAGACATTTTACTTTTATGTATCACAATAAGGAAAACCATGCACAAACAATCGATGTACATACGGAAACTAATTTTATTCAAGTGTCAGAAATAAATTTTATTAGACAGGAAAACAGCTCGACAAACTTCTGATTGAATTTTTCCTTCACTATGAAGACTTAACCAGATACTTGGAGCTAAACCTAATATAATAGTGACATTCTTTCTATTCCCATATGACTAAAACAGTAGTTATTAGGCTAAGATCTCCCATACCTGTTGAGGTTGAAGATCGCAAATTATAGTGTTAATGTTGTTCAAAATCTCATCAATAAAGGGCATTACTTCTCCAACCTGAACCTGAACAAAATGTCTGCGGCACTTCTGAGCTATTTTAATGAAAGTATCACAAGCCATGTCTTGGACTCCATCATGGGTCTCTAATGAAACAAAAACATTTATTAAAATCTTTTCAAAAATAATTTTAAACAAAAACAAACAACTAAATATATTAAATAAAAAGGATTTACCATGCATAAATTCAAACAGCTTGTTAACTACAGTCTTTAAAAATTTCCAGTGAGCTCTTAAAAATCTTGGATATTGACCTACTATGTACATGATATTTGATGCAATTATAGCTTTATTATCTTTCCCTCTTTTCTGTTCACATAATCCTAATAGATCCTGTAAAATAAGACAAATTTCAGTAATTTATAATTAAACATGATTATTTAATGATTCCTGTCTATACATACCACGTGCATACCTTTATAACAGTAACAAGAAATCGTTTTTCATCCTCTTCATGCATTGCTCCACTAATGGAGCCTATTGCCCAACACAATGTATTTAAATTTTTCCATGACCATTCTGTACCATTCACTTGATTGTGAAGCTTTTCAGTCATTATTCTTTCTGTATCTACATAATCCAGATGAGTAAGATAAACTACAAAGGAAAAAAGTTCCAGATGTTTCAGATGCAAATTTAATGAGCAAAAACTTTTACTAAGGGAAGAGCAGCACATTAATAAAATGGCTATTAACAAATTCAGAAACTAAGCGGATCACATTTCCTGTAGTACTTTCATTCCAGAATAGAATCACAAAGATTTAAATTAATAGTATTTATTAACTTACCTAATGTTTCTCTCATATTCTTATACAAATTTATGGAATCTGTATCCTTCATGAATTCTCTTACAACTTCTCCCTGATCATTTTCTACAACCAATACTTCCTCTGGTTTAGCCATACGACTAACCATCAATAAACGAACCTATTCAACAAGAAAAATCTGTTAGAGATTAGAAACCAGCAACATCAAATAAAGACTAAAAATTAGGTTATATGCACCTTAAGGTACCAAATTGCCCTGACAATATAAAAGAATGAACATATTTAAAATGTAATTCTGTAATAGTGGTTTCTCAAACTTTATCATGAATAAAAAAACACAATTGCTAAATATCAATGTTTTATCCAGACACTGAAAGGGGGTAGCTTCTTAACTTACATTTCTAATAAAATCACAGATGTGCATGTTCCAGTTTTCAACATGCATGGGGAAGTTGGGACTCTTTCTGTAGCTCATTTATTTGGATAGGTTAGTGAAAAACAAAAGCCAGTGCTTGCATTTATTTAGCTCTCAAAATCACAGTAAGTAACAAGAGCATCAACCACCCACTTTACTGTTACCTTGGATAACACGGGCAAATACAGCTGCCTCCTGGGAGGAACATCAAAATGTTGGCTTCCAGATAGTAACGGAGAGGCCAATGTAGAGAATGGGCTCTCTCTATAGAGTTCAGCTGCCAAATGATTCCAGTACTCAAGACAAATCTTAAAGATTTCTGTTTCCTCCACTTCTGATACCAACAACATATAATGAAGGGCCTACAAAGAAAATCAAAGTTTAATAAAATAATTCATTATTAATTGCTTTGCACTCATTGTGTTATTTAAAAATAAAAGTTCCTGTTTTAAGTTTCACAACTTATTATTTCATTATTCACGTGCCATGCTAAAAATTCTCTAGGAGCAAATTGTTTTCTTCTTACATGTCCTGGAATACTTATATAATAATTAGTTGGTATCAATAGCAAAAAGAAACAATCCAAATACCCATCAACTGATGAACACACAAAATTTGATATAGCCATATAAGAAACTATTACTCAGTCATAAAAAGGATGAAGTACTGGTACATAATGTAATAAGGATGAACCTTGAAAATCCAACTACAAAAGACCATATAATTCCATTTGTATGAAAGGTTTAGGGTAGATAATTCCAGAATCAGAGAGCAAATCAGTGGCTGTGAGGGAATGAGGGAGAAAAAAGAATTAAGTAACTTTCAAAGGACATATCATTGGTTTGTGAGTAAAAATCTTTTGGGAAAAAAAAATAGATGGTTGAAAACACTGTGAATATACTAAATGGCACTAAATTATACACTTTAAACTGGATATTTTATGTGGATCACAAATCAATTTTTTTAAAAACTTGTTTTTAAAATTAATTTTAATTATATTTTTTTATTTCAGAGAGACAGGGAGAGGTAAAGATAGATACAACAGTGATGAGAATCATAGATCGGCTGCCTTCTACATGTCCCCTACTGTGGATTAAGCCCGCAACCTAGGTAGTATGTCTTTGATGGGAATTGAACCTAGGACCCTTCAGTCCAGGCTGATATTCTTCCACTGAGCCAAACCAGCAAGGACTTTAAACTGATTTTAGAGAAAGGTAGAAGGAGAGATAGAAACATCAATAATGAGAATTATTGAAAAGCTGCCCCTGGCATGTGCCCCCCACTCCCTGGAGGATGGAGCCCATAATTCAGACATGTCCACTGACCAGTAAGAGAATTCTAACTTCCCAGTTCATGGGTCAACACTCAACCCTGAACCACAAGCCAGGCTACACATCGAATTTTTAGTAAAGTAATTAGACTTAATCTTAAGAATGACACATCTAACCCAATGTTACTGGTTGACCATAGATCTACGAACCTGGAGGTCATGTTCGTTTCTCGGTCCGGGCACACACATGAATTGCAGGCTCGATACCCAGTGTGGGACATGGAGGAGGCAGCTGGTCAATGATTTTCATCATTGATTTTCTATCTCTCTCTCCTCCAATCCTCTCTGAAATATATATATTCTCGACACGTTTGTACACCCTTTAGATCTTTAAGTTATTATTATGTAAAAAAAGAATTTCAGAAGCCAAAGGCTCTACAAAGCCTACCTCCATGAGAGTTTCCCTGAGATTTAGTCTTTTTTCTATAAGTTGACCATGTTCCTTAAGAAATGTGCAGAGAAACAAACTGAGATTTTGAATAAAGTTCTGTTCATCATCTTTTCCATTTGAGTATGCAAGTCGAATATTGGTATTTAAAGGAAGCATCTGCAGGTTTAAATAGAGACTATTAGTCTGCATTTTAAAACCAATGAAAAAAAGACACTACATTTCAGCCCAAAGATTCTACTACCCTTTACCACTACTAAAATAGTCAAATAGGTTATTCTTCATGAGAATTCCTTGGTCAAACTGTTTTTGTATCTGTGTGTCCTAGCTTTGGACATATTAAAAAAAATCCTTTATTGTTTGAAGTATTACACGTCCTCTTTTCCCCCCTCGCCTAGACCTTGGCCACCCTCTTGTGTGTGTCCATTGGTTATGCATATATACACACAGGGTCTTTGATTACCTTCCACCCACCCATCTACTGTCCCCCACCTTCCCTCTGAGATTCCGCAGTCAATTCCATGCTTCCATTATTTCTGGATTTTATTCTGTTACATAGACTCTTCATCTAAGTGAGATCATGATACTTGTCTTTCTCTTTCTGACTGCTGTATTTCACTTAGCACGAAACTGCAGGTCCCTCCACGCTGTCTAAAAGGCTAAAATAGTCTATTTTTTTTTTTTTTACTGTTGCATAGTATTCCATGGTATAACTGTACTACAGCCATTTATCCATTCATCTACTGATGGGCACTTGGGCTGTTTCAGATCTTAGCTATTGCAATTTATGCAAGTAGTAAGATTTACTCAGACTATACTCTAAATTCTTTCCTGGATAAAACTTTTCCCTCCTTAATGTTATCAGAAATGTAAAAACACTCAATTAACTAATTCATATAACATACAATAATGTAATATCATCAATCTTCTAGATAACTTATATAGACTAAAACTATACAATCCTTCACTTCAGACCTAAGTTTAGAAGCAGCTGACATTAATCCCCAGATTTGTAAGCACTTAATGAACTTTCAAAATGACTCATTAAAATGGCTAGTTTACTCATCATTTTATAGAATAAATATGCAACCATAGTATACTTGGTCTATTATAAAATGCTCTGAAATGATTAAACTCTAATCCACCCTTTTCTAAGGAACATAAATTTACTCAGTTTTTGAGTGTTTTACCTGTTTTAGCTGCATCATTGTCAGTGTAAATAGTGTTACAAATTGTTCCTCGTATTGGCTTACACTCACACCAGCAATCTCAGTGAGGCACTTCAGAGAGACATTTCGAAACATTGGAACATTCAGGAACTATTTTAATACAAAAAAGAAAACATAAAATTAAAGTGCCTAAACATTTTTTACTTAAAATTAAAAATTGGGTTTAAAAAAAAATTATTTTACTAGTATATCAAATATAGACCTCCCACCCAAGCAGATACGTAGGTGACACATAATTTTATTTTGCACATGTATTTTGAGAAAATTTTATTAACCACATTAACAATAATTATTTTAAGAGCAAACTATGCTTTATTTTTATGTATCTGGGACATCTAAAAAAAAAAAAAAAAACAAATTTGCTTAGTAACTTATCCAGGATTTATTATGTGACTTTATTTTTTAAAAAATATGTTTTATTGATTTTTCACAGAGGAAGAAAGAGGGATAGAGCGTTAGAAACATCGATGAGAGAATCATCGATCAGTTGCCTCTTGCACACCCCTTACTGGGGATGTGCCCACAACCAAGGTACATGCCCTTGACTGGAATCAAACCCGGGACCTTTCAGTCTGCAGGCCGACGCTCTATCCAGAGCCAAACTGGTTTCGGCTATTATGTGACTTTTAAGAATATCATATTTTCTGTGCAGTCTCAGTGGATAGTGTCAACCTGTGGATTGAAAGGTCCAGGATTCAATTCAGGTCAAGGGCACATGCTGGAGTTGCAAGCTCAATCCTCAGTAGGGAGTGTGTAGGAGGCATCCGATCAATGATTCTTTCTCATCATGGATGTTTCTATCTCTCTCCCCACTCCCTTCTACTCTGAAGTCAATAAAAATATATTTAAAAAATAAATTATTTCAAACATTATAAATTCGTTGATCAAAGTAAGATCTTTTCAAACCCTAAACTACAAAGCCCAAAATGTAAATTACAATTGCCTACTTTTTAAAGTCACAATTACCCACAACCCAGGAATGTACCCTGACAGAGAACGAACCCGTGACCTCCTGGTTCATTGGTTGATGTTCAACTGAGCCGTGGCAGCCAGGCTGCTGCTTTTAAATTATCAGGAAAAATATATAGATGTTCCATTTTTTAGAAACATTCCTTATGTTACCTCCCGGTAGTCTATATAATCCCCCAAAATAGAATAGGATCCATTCCCAGTTGTTCACATGGAATTAATGAAATTTATGGTATAAGTAGAACAATCATTTCAAAGAACTACTAGCTGAAACTATGGAAAAGCTCTTCTGAGCAGGTTCCTTATCTCAGAAACAAGGTTGGTTATGGCTATAAATGTAGAATAATTTTCTATATGAAAGAGCATTATAAAATAATAAATGTAACTATTTAGTGATAAGTGAAATGTATTTTACCTTATAAATTAATGTGCTGATTAACTTGGTCTCAAAAATATATCCCAGTGGAATCCAGTTAAGAAATCTCAGCAATGTTTCCAATGTTGCATGTACAAGTGGAGCATTTTGGGAATTTTCCTGCAATGAAAACAAACCTATATAATAATCATCTTCTTCTATAATTGTTATTTTAAAAGTAAAAATGAAAGCACTTACCATTACAAACTGACACAGCTGAAAGATTTGTGAGAACTCATTGCACATGCTAAAAATAAAAAGTGATTGGTTTAGAAGACAAATAAAAACAAATACTGTAGTTACATACTAACAAATATTACATATTCCAATCTGATCATTAAAAACTTGAGTTACTCTCATTTAAACATATACACCAACTTCATCAAAAGCTTCAAAGTTACTGTTTCTTGATTTTTTTAATTCTTACTCTAACATTATTTTTTTCCTTCTTTTTCTAAATATATTTTGTTGATTTTTTTACAGAGGAAGGGAGAGAGACAGAGACAGAAACATTGCTGAGAGAGAAACAAGAATCAGCTGCTTCTTGCACATCCCCAGTGGGGGATGTGCCTGCAACCAAGGAACATGCTCTTGACCGGAATCAAACCTGGGACCCTTGAGTCCGCAGGCCAACGCTCTATCCACTGAGCCAAACAAGTTAGGGCTAACTGCAGGTTTTTATGTCTTCTTATCTGGTGGATATTGACCCAGATTTCCCCCAAATTAACCAAACCAGTTTCGGCTCTATTTAATACTAATCAGTCTAGCTTTTGATATCAAGTTAGTTAAAACCAACCAACCAACCAACCAACCCACAGACACAACCACCCACAGGACTCCAAATTATCCCGGCTGGTGTAGCTCATGCATAAAGGTCACCCGTTTGATTCCAGGTCAGGTCACACACCCAGGTTGCTGTCGTGATGACCAGGAGGAGGAGTACAGGAGGCAGCTGATCAATGTTGATATTTCTCTCTCTCCCCTCGGTTTCCTTTCTCTCCAAAAAATCTATAAAAACACTTAAAAACAAAAAACAAAAACAAGAATTCACAACTCTCTAAAATACATGAAGTGGCATTATATCTACAGGGTTGGACAAAAGTAGCTTTGCAGATGTGAGTACATGAAACAGTTTATTCTTGCATGATTAGCTAATGTATTTTGTTCCATAAGAACAAATTGTAAACCTACTTTTGTCATATCCTGTATATGCCAAATACACCAAATCAGAGGAAATATTCTAAATCCCGAAGCCAGTTTGACCACATAAAAGTACATAAAAGTAATATACTTCTGTGTCCTAATGACTTCAACAAATTTTTAATAACAACAAAAATAAATTCTAGCATGATCCTAGTACTAACAGTAGGAAATTGACAAGATACAGGACTAGTAAAAATTCAGCTGGCGTTCAGACACAAGTAATTTTCCTTGGAAGCCATTAAGTAGTCACCATATAAAACATATCCCAAAGAGAACTCTCAACCTATATTCCTTTCCCATATGACTTTTTTTTTTTTTTGCTGTGACAAAACATCTTTAGCACCACATGTACTTTTTAAACCTCCAGATTTAGGATATTAAGCTGATTGTAAGACTATTTAAATTTGCAATGAAAAAAAAATTAAAATTAATCATTTTAACAATCAAAATTTTTAAAAAACTTATAGCCTGCCTCCAAATTCCTCTTAATAGTTTGAGAAATTACTTAAGCTTTCAAAACAGAATACTCACCTGTCCTTTAAATGCTTAGCTTTTACTTGGGTTATCTGTCCACTAGAGAAATCAAATACTTCTTCACTCAAGAGTTTAAGAATCACCATATTATTCTGACAGAGGCTTTCACTGGTCCTACTTGCTCCAACAATGTCACTGATAAAAGTTGGCCAGTGTTTTGGCCATTCCTGTTTCAGTATCTAAAATAAGAAAATGTTAATTTTATTTCACTTGTTAATGTCAAAATTTCTAAGAAACTGTGTCATATTAAAAGGAACAAATATCAAATCACTTTCCATTTTCTACTGCTTTATTCAAAGAGGAAATGTGCCACCATCCACAAAATACACTGGATAGAAAATACAACACAGATAAAGCCCTGTCTCAAATGCCCTACAACTACATTGTTATCCCAACTGGTCTAATCTGGCTATCATGTGTATGCATGTAATATCTGCCTGATAGGCATATGCAAAGTATTCCCAGGAGACTCTTTTAAGCAATTAAAAAGGTGATGGGCAAGGAAACATTTTTTTGGCTGACATCTGGCCCTTGAAATATAGTAGAGTTTGGACATATAAATTAAATAGAAGAGAGGAGGCATTACAATTGGGGATAGAATAAATTTTTGAATCAGAAATTCTGTAAGAGCACCTATAAATAAGAAGTTAGTAACCTTCTTTGCACTCCTTCCTCTCCCCAATTCAGAAATAGGTTACCAACAAAAAGTCTTTAGTATATAAGCCAGTAAAACATTTGGCTTTGTTTTAAAAATCATTTAAGTTCCAAAAACTTATTATATAGAAAATTTTATTTTTTCCTTATACACCAATTAATCTCAAAAATTTTTTGACATATTAAAAACAGGTAAGTTAAAATTTCTAAAGTGAGACTATACCGAAAGTTTGAATAACCTTCTAAGAGATTAAAGGAATACTGTATTAAAGAACAATTAAAACAGATAGATAACATGGAAACACAGAGTACCAAGCATAAATGATAAAATTTAATAGAGTCCAATTCATATTGGAGCCATAAAGTGATAAGTTTTCAATTTTACAATTTCAAATGCTACATAGTAGGTTAACTATAAGAGTTATCATAAAAACTACTATGGGCCTAGCCAGTTTGTTTGAAGGGTCCCAGGTTCAATTCTGGTCAAGGGCACATGTCTGGGTTGTCAGGCTTAGTCCCAGTAGGGCATGAGCGGGCAGCTCACCAATGATTCTCTCCCATCATTCATGTTTCTATCTCTCCCTCTCCCTTTCTCTCAGAAATCTATCTATCTATCTATCTATCTATCTATCTATCTATCTATCTATCTATCTAGAAAACCCTACTATCACTACTTCTGCAAGTTATTAGTTTATTCAATAAAGTGTGTTCAAGTATTTTATACAAATAATCAGCCTAACTGAAACATTAAACTCTTTTGAGGAAAACAGTGAAATCTTACCTGAACAAGAATCATATTCAATTTCCCGATATATACTTTTTCCTTCTACAAAAAGAGAAACATTTAGATTAAATAAGAGCCTAAAATAGGTATACGGGTCTAGTAATAATTAATGTCGTTTTAAACATTCATTTAAAATCTTGCTTGGCGTTGACTTGTATCGACATAACCTTCAAACACGTGGTATCTACAGAACGTGTGAAGTGCAATTAACAAGTTTTGCTTGAAAAAGTTTGTGTTTGGTTTGGTTTTTGTTGCAAAACTAGGGCTAAGAAGATGGCGGATGAAGAGCATATTCGGCACTGCATGCTTTACGAGTTCCAATTAGGAAGAAAAGCAAGTGAGGCTGCAAAAAACATCTGTAGTGCTCTTGGTCAAGATTCAGTTAGCGCCAGAAAATGCCAGCGTTGGTTTGAGAAATTTCGCGAGAGAAATTTTTCGTTAGATGACAAGAGTGGTCGAGGCCGTGTGTCCAATTTTGATCAAGAAGCTCTTCAAGCTCTTTTGGTGCAAAATCCTCAAATTACCCAACAAGAGCTTGCGACAACTTTAAATTGTTCACAAAAAACAATTTCCAATCAATTGCGTGCACTTGGCAAAGTCCAAAAGTTTGGAAAATGGGTTCCTCATGAGTTGACCGACAACAACCGTAATCAAAGAGTCACAATTTGCAGTTCGCTCCTCTCGTCAAAACCGTTTGCCGTTTTTAGAGCAAATTGTTACCGGAGATGAAAAATGGGTGCTGTATGTTAATTTGAAAAGGCGGCCTCAATGGTTGGACAAAAATGAGGCTCCGCACGCAGCCCACGCCACAACCTGACTTGCATGCGAAAAAAGTGATGTTGTGTGTTTGGTGGAATTTTAAAGGAATTCTTCATTATGAACTTTTACCATCTAACCAAACCATTACAAGTGCAGTGTATAGTGCCCAATTGGAAAGGTTAGCCCAAGCTTTAAGAGAAAAAGAACCCGCGCTGATTAATCGGAAGGGCGTAATTCTTCACGATAACGCACGACCGCATACTGCAAGAATCACTGCTGAAAAACTGCGCCAGTTGGAATGGGAAGTTCTCCCTCAACCTGCATATTCTCCTGATATTGCCCCTTCCGATTACCATTTGTTTCGTTCTTTGCAAAACTTTCTTCTTGGAAAAAAATTTAATAATGAAGAATGCCTCAAAAATGCATTGACCGAATTTTTTGCATCAAAATCACACGAATTTTACAACAGAGGGATTAAAATGCTTCCTGAGCGTTGGGCACAAGTAGTAGAAAACAACGGCAACTATATTGTTGATTAAATTTTGTTGTATTGTTTAAATAAATTCCATTTAAAAAAAAGGTATTAGAAAACGACCATAATTATTACTAGACCTAATAGTTAAGAACAAAAGCATAAGAAACCTCAGAGAAAAAAAATAATTGCATATTTATTGAAAATGACTATGTATGTGTTTATAGCTCTGTGATAGTGATAGTAAGGTTTAAGTTGAAGATTCAATATTTAAGTGCTTTTACATTTTCACAATAATCTTCAAAAAATCTCTTACCTCTACACAAGTTGGATCAGATGAGGTCTTGATAATAAGGCCAACAACATATTTTTTTATTCCTATGGGAAAAATTTTATAAATCAATATTTTTATAGCATATTAATAAATCCTCAGAAACAAAAAATTTGGGGTATGAAGAGGGCAGAGTACAGTCAGATAATATGCCTAATCCCATCACCAATGTTGGCTTTTGTGGAAAAATTTAATATACTACTTTATACTGTTAAAAAAAATTTTTTTAAATTGACTTTAGATAGAATGCAAGGGAGAGAGAGAGAAATATTGATTGGAAACCTGGGCATGTGCCCTGATGGGGAATTGTGGGAAACCCTTTGGTGCATAGCATAGTGCTCAACCAATGGAGCCACATCAGCCAGGGCTTTAGCACACTACTTTATTTTATTTTTTTAAAATATATTTTATTGATTTTTTTTTTTTTTTTTTTTTTTTTTTACAGAGAGGAAGAGAGAGGGATAGAGAGTTAGAAACATCGATGAGAGAGAAATGTCGATCAACTTCCTCTTGCACACCCCCTACTGGAGATGTTCCTGCAACCAAGGTATATACCCTTGACCGGAATCGAACCTGGCCGATGCTCTATCCACTAAGCCAAACTGGTTAGGGCTGCACTACTTTATTTTTATTTTAAAACATGGAACGCTTCACGAATCTGCGTGTCATCCTTGCACAGGGGCCATGCTATCTTCTCTGTGTCGTTCCGATTTTAGTATATGTGCTGCCGAAGCGAGCACTGTAGTGTACACTACTTTAAATGTTTAGGTTATGTTCTTATCCTTTACAAAATCTAGGTGGAACAATTACACATTACTATCTTCTAAGATTGCAGTCGCCAACAGGTGGACCTAGAGGTAAGAAAGGTTGGCAACAATTGTTCTCATCTAAGATAAGATGTTCTCATCTGTTTAATTTAGGTTTTGCTGCCAAATGCTTGATAAAGATTTTCAATTTTCAGAGCTCCCTGAACTTTGCAGCTACAGATAAGACTTTCTGAAACTGTGTCCTAACCCTCATCTACCAAATCAGAACACACTTTAAGAATGGATCTGCTGGCCAAAGCCAAGATTGGTTCAGTAGGTAAAACATCAATCAGTAAGGGGCATGCAGTAGACAGCCAATCAATAATTCTCTCATCATTGATGGTTTTTTACCTCTTTCATTTCCATCCTCTCTGAAATCAATAAAGAAAATATTTTTAAAAAGTTCCACATTAGGCAAAAGACAATACAGACTGTTGCAGACAAGACCCACCAATGTGCTAAAACGAATGGGCAAGTCATCAGGAGAAACTGAATATCTACATGGTGTGAAATTCTCTCTCCAAAATACTTATCATTTTCAATATGAAAAATAATAATTTTGTAAACAAAAAACCAGCGGGCACCAAAACCACTGATAAAGGTTAATACAGTGAACAATTAAACATCTTGACATTATGTAGTCCCTGGTTATGTGGTATTCTTGCTTAAAGAAATATGTACCAGAGCCTAATCATATTAAGAACAAAACTAACTAAATTATACTATACAAAATAATGGACCAGAATTCAAGTGTCAAAATCATAGAATCAGGAATTAAGAATTGTCACAGATTGGAAGACTGAAGAGATACAACTAAATGAATTATAGAACAGAGAAAGGACATTAGAGAAAAAGCTTATGAAATGTGAATCAAGGTCCACAGTTCAGTTAATAATACTGAACCACATGTTTAATTTCTTGTTTGTTCATTTTATTATTGTTCATAAGTTGTTAGTATCAGCACAATCTGTACTTTTCTGGGCAACAATTCTATAGTCTAAAATTACTTCAAAGTATTAAGAGGCTTTGTGGACACAAAGTAAAATCAAGTTTAGTTTTAGTAAGGGGATTACTTATTTTTTTAAAATATATTTTATTTTTTTAAAATATATTTTATTGATATTTTACAGAGAAGAGGGGAGATGGACAGAGAGCTGCCTCCTGCACACCCCCGCACTGGGGATGTATCTGCAACCAAGGCATATGTTCTTGACCCTTCACCCCGCAGGCTGACGCTCTATCCACTGTGCCAAACCAGTCAGGGCAATAAGGTGATTTTTAAAATATAACTATTAGGGGAGCCAAATTATTATTTTTAATGAGTATTAAATTATACCACAAAACAATCACATGTCCATATTACCAGTTAAACCTAATAAAAAACAATTCTGGTATCACTATCATTAAAAACAAAAAAAAAAAAAGTCAGTAGTACTTGGTCAGAAAGGTGGTTATTTAAAAGTTACAGTCTTGAAGAGAAAAGTACTGACTATGGTAAAGTGATATTAAATTGAGACTTGATTGTTTATGAGAATTTTCCAGTTACTGACTACTTATATCGCTTTTTTCCTATTTTCATCTTTCACCCTTTGTTCCATCTACAGTGTGTTTTAGAAGACTTTGAAAAGAGGGTCAAGGGAAGTGGAAGGTTGTCTGATCCTGTTTTATATTCTCTGAGGTTAGAAAAGCCTCCAAATCTTAAATATTCTGACTAGAGGCAACAGTAGCAGTTTTGGACATTGTCTTGTTCCTTGTGACAGAATTAGAAGAAAAAGTAGTGAATCTTTTTTTTTTTTTTAGTTTAGAGAGAGAGGAAGAGAAACATCAATTTGTTGTTCCACTTATTTATGCATTAATTGGTAGATTTTTTTATGTGCCCTGACTAGGGATCAAGTTCCCAACCTAGACTTATCAGGTTGATACTCTAATCCCGTGGTCAGCAAACCCATTAGTCAACAGAGCCAAATTGTTTAAACTGAAACTTCTAATACCACTTCGTCAAAATAGACTTGCCCAGGCTGTGGTATTTTGTGGAAGAGCCACGCTCAAGGGGCCAAAGAGCTGCATGTTGGTCGCGAGCTGCAGTTTGCCAACCACGGACCACGGCTCTAACCAACCGAGCTACCTGGCAGATTCCTGAATTTTTTTAAAAAAATATATTTTATTGATTTTACACAGAGAGGAATTGAGAGGGACAGAGAGTCAGAAACATCGATGAGAGAGTGTCATCGATCAGCCGCCTCTTGCACACCCCCCACCGGGGATGTGCCCACAACCAAGGTACATGCCCTTGACCGGAATCGATCCCGGGACTCTTCAGTCCGCAGGCCGACCCTCTATCTACTGAGCCAAACCAGTCCCGGGAGATTCCTGAATTTCTTACTACATTATATTGTCGGTCCTTTAAGGTCCACCCAAAATAAGGAAATGGGCAGTATTAAAAAAAAAAAAAAGTAAGCATTCCTCTGAAACATCTTAATCCAAGTTTACAAGTTTAAAAATAGAAATAAAAATACACCCTGCATTTGTTGTTAATCCTTATCCAAGGAGATATTCCCACTGATTTTTAACACTGGGAGGGAGGCTTAAACTGGTTAGACCGTCGGCCTGCGGACTGAAATGTCCCAGGTTCGATTCCAGTCAAGAGTATGTACCTTGGTTGTGGGCACATCCCCGGTGAGGTGTAAAAGAGGCAGCTGATTGACGAATCTCTCTCATCAATGTTTCTAACTCTCTATCCTCACTGTAAAAAAATCAATAAAATGTTTTTAAAAATAAATAAATAAAATAAAAGAGTGGGAGGGAGGGAAGTAAAGATTGATGTGAGAGAGACTCCTGTACTATCACCAAGCTGCTCTTCAAAAAAAAATTTGAGGAGTGCTAGAGATTGAACTTATAATTGAGGTATGTGCCTTACTAGGAATTGAATCAAAGTCCATTTGGTGCACAGGCCAACACTCTTATCCATTGAGAATCACTGGCCAGGGTAACCTGCTCTTTGATTAAAGTCCGCCCAAAATCTCCAATTGCTAGATAACAGACCTTATTTGGTCAAATACCTTACCTCCTTCCCCTAATTTCTTCCTAGAGTTTTCTCAAAAATTTTGTAGAGAGATCCAAGATGGAAGGAAAATAAGAAAATAATAAGTACAAAAATCAGGGTAAAAATTATACTGGGATAAGGAGGAGGGAGACATAATTGAGGTTGGGCACCATGAGGAATTTCAAATGTATTGACAATGACAACATGTAAAATATTAATGTTTTTATCCCTTTCCTATTGCCTCAAGTTGTTCACTTTGTCATCATATTTTATTCCAATCTCTGTCCACATCATACCAATTTTTAAATATATATAAAAACTGATATGATATATATATATATATATATATATATATACACACACACACACACACACACACACACACACACGCATACACACACACACATACACACACACACACACACTAGAGGCCTGATGCACGCTAAATTTGAGCAAGAATAGGCCTTCCTTTCCCCAGCTGCTGGCACCTACTTCCCTCTGGCACCCAGGACCAGGGCTTCCCTCACAGCCCAGCTACATCTGGAAGGACATCTAGTCTAATTAGCATATTACTCGTTTTATTATTATAGATAATTTTTTTTTTATTTCAGAGAAGAAGGGAGAGGAAAAGAGAGAAACATCAGTGAGGAGAGTCATTGATCAGTTGCCTCCTGCATACCCCCTACTGGGGTTCAAGTCTGCAACCAGGCATGCCCCCTACTGGGTTCAAGTCTGCAACCAAACCATGACTTACTGGTCCATAAGTGGATGCTCAACCACTTAGATACACTGGCCAAGCCATATCAGTTTTTTGCATTACCTCTCTCATTTAAGGACATCATTAATCTTCTCTCACCCATGCCAGAAATGTGAAGGTCATCTTTAATTCCTCATCTAAACACTTCTCAGATCTCAGCCTTCATTCTCAACCCCATCCCCACTAATATGTGTAAAGTACTTGTAAATGTTCAGACTATTGAAGAATCCAAGATGGCTGCACAGGCAAACACCTAGCCGCAGCCGCACACAACAATTTCAATAAAATACAACTAAAATATAAAATGGACACTACCTATAACTACAGGAAAGTCGACTGACTGGAAATTCTACAAGAAGCCAGGAGAAAACCAGAAGGAAGCGCGGAAGAGCTGGAAAAGCCTGAGGTATGGAGACACGTGGCGCGCGGAGAGGACGAGCG